GCAGGAGGGCTGGCAGAGCAAGAGGAGAGTTGGACCAGGATTTTGATGTGTTCCTGATTAGGTGGTACTCAATCCATACCCAGAGATGCACTATCCAATATGGAAGCCACCTCCTAAATTTAAGTAAGTTAAAATTAAAGTTAGGCATCGAACATTTCCCTCGTTACAGACAGTTCTGTTAGCCAGCACCGCTCCAGGACCTGGGGAGAGTGGGGGTGGGGTGATGGGAAGGGAGGCACTGCTGTGGCCGGGCGCCTTCCCTGTGAGGGTCCATGGTTCCTCTCACACAGAGATAGATAGCTGGCATCACTCATTCATTCCTTCACTTATTTGCTTATCCAATGATTCAACAAATACTGGGCATTTCTGTGCCAAGCACTATGAGAGGTGCTGAGGGTTGCAGCCACGAACACAATGTAAAGACAGAGTCCTGCGCTCACAGAGCCTACAGTCTGGCAGGGGGGACAAGGAACATGACAACTTGATGACAACAGCAGGCGGAACAGTGTTGAAACATAGGGGCTTTTCAAGGCTAGGCTGAGCTCATGTGCAGGTCAGCTGGCCATGGGGAAGCCATTGTCCGCTGGTGAGATGATTTCTGATCTGCGCCAAGCTCTTGGGTTTAGAAAGATGGCATGAGCTAGCGACAAGCATCATAGGGCAAGACCACCAGGCCAGTGACAGTGAGGACGGAGGGGAGGGTCGGACTCTAGAGAAAGCTCAGAGGGAAAATGAAGAGGAGTGTCTGGTTTGGTGGGAGAAAAGGAAAGGCTGGGAAAAGGCCACCGATGGGCTCTGCAGCCAGGTGAGTCTTAGGGAGAGCTGGTTTAGAGGCAGAGCAAGGCCAGATGGCAGGGAGTTACCAGGCGAGTGTGGGTATGAGGCGAGTGTGGGTGTGAGAATGGGCAGATGTAGGCTGCCCTGAGAAATTCAGCAGGAAAGAGAATGTCAGGTGGGGGTGCAGGCAGAGATGAAGACAGCCGAAAAGGGGGGGGGGTGTTCTTAAATGCTAGAGGATGCCTGAGCAGGCTTGCAGGTGCAGGGAAGGCCATGGAAAGCGAGAGATTGAAGATGTGGGGAAAGAGATGATAATGGCGGGCCCAGGAGCCAGGAGATCATGGGAGGGGAGGGACCCAGCAACGGCAGGAAGGCGGCCTGGTTGACAAAGGAGCTGGAGAGATCCTGAAGTGCTGGAAGGGGGCGGAGGAAACTTGTACTAGCACACACGCGTGCATCCTGGAGTTGTAAAAATGCAATTAATTGCACTTGCACAAATAGTATGTACATGGCTACACACCTGTGTACACATGAGCATGCACACATGCCTCCTGTTACGAATGCTGGAAACCCCATTTCTCTCTCTCTCTCTCTCTCTCTCTCTCTCTCTCTCTCACACACACACACACACACACACATACACACACACACACAGGAAACCAGCCCTAACCTAGGCTCTGAGCCATGGGAGGCACTGTGCAGTATAAAGGAGAGGAAGGCAAGGGGATCAGCTTCAGACTGGGCCCCAGGAGCCCTGATTCCAGTCCCCCAGTCACCCCACTCAATGCCTGGATGACTTCAGGCAAGTGACTTCACCTCTGGGTGACACCTTGCCTGAGGGATCAGAAGAGTATAAAATACCCACCCTGCCCAGCCACAGGCTAGCCAGGCTCTCCTGAAACAAAGGCTTCCTCTCTGCTGCGTCTCCTTCTCTGCAAAAATTCCAAGTAAGCAGACGAAAGCCCCCACATGGCCCTGACCTTCCAGTGCACCTGGCCCAGAATCCCACCCGCCACCTGCCCAAAACTTACCTCACAGGCCAGGCTCTGCTGGACACCCATGTACTCTCCCCTCCTTCCTACTCCTCTCATGCCCCCTGCCCAGCCCCACCCAACAGCTCCCCCGAGTTCCCTCCCATGCACCTGTTCAACCCACAGCAACCCAAACCCAAGTGAGGGTGGGGCCAATTTGTGTCTTGTCTGCATCCTACCGTCTGTCCTGGTGCCTGTTCTTTTCTGTGACCTTGATGGGGATGCTTTATTGGGTGCAGCTGGACTGTCATTGGGGAACCTCCACTGGTTGGGTTGGGGGAGGGGCAAGAAAGGTGGCGAATCGGCAATTGCTGCAATGTCGCAGCCTTGCCACCCCCACCCTTTGGGCCACACCTACACCCGGCCCACTTCCCTTGCTGCTGGGTCACTAGGTCTCCAAAAACCTCTGATCTTTCCTTTAGGAATTCCCATTTGCTGGGAGGAGAGATTGTGCTGGGAGGCAGTGACCCCCAATACTACCAAGGGAATTTCCACTACGTGAGCATCAGCAAGACTGGCTCCTGGCAGATCAAAATGAAAGGGTCAGATTTCTCAACCCTTCCCACTCTCCAAAATTTCTGCT